GAAGCAGCAAGGCACAAATGCATCTCAAACACCACCAAACTCTTCCCAAAACAAGTCCCCAGTGCCAGCCCGAGGCATCGGCTGTGTCTGCACTGCCAGGGCCCATGGCTCAAGCCTCTCCACCAGCTGAAGTCCTCCTGTGTCCCCCTTGTCCGGAGGGGTCAGGAGGGACAGCAGGGGAATGCTGTGGCTCTCACCCCAGCCCCTTTGAGCAGTGCAGGAAGGTTTGGGGTACACGAGCCGGTCTCTGCAGGCAGGAAGAGGATGACACGTTCACAGGGAAACACCCACCCAACCTCCCCATAATGCAGTTCTGAAAATGGGGGTGCTGGCACCCAGCTGTGCTTCCAAGAGCCTTTGGGGGCTCATGTCCCAGTGCCATGGGACATTGCCGCACTCCCAGGTCCCCAGCAGGATGCAGGCTGGGCTGTGACCGATGTCCATCCTCATCCCCACGGGCTGACCTTCATCTTCCCAGGAGCTCCCAGGGAAGTCCTGGGAGACCAGTTCAGTCTCCATCCCAAGCATCAAGCGACCACCCAGGCAGTATCCATCACTGCATATCCTCCATCTCATTCCCAAGGCCTCCTGTCACCCTGCTCCCCTCATCACCCTCTTCCACCCTCCCACCACACTGACCCCACAGCCCTCTGCAGCCTCCCCGGCCACCCCAGCTTGCAGGATCCTGCAAGGATCTGGTAATTACCAGTGACAGCTGCCTGCCTCCCCTGTCATAAGCACCCTTAATGGGACCACAAACATATTAATCATTTAGCAAAAGACACCGATTAATGTAGCATGCTGTTAATTACAGCTAAGAAAGCATCTCCCATGGGGTGACACTGTGACAGAGAGCCGTGTCCTCTGCACCCCCATTGCTGCCGCTGCGGCATGGCCAGGCACCCCGCCAGGCCACAGCTCCTTTGGCAACAGCAAAAGGGAAGGAAGGTTCCTCAGGGAGCTGAAGGCACAGCCTTCAGCCTTGGTAGAGGCAGAGGCACCCCAGAAAGCCATCCAAGGGTGTCCAAAATTAATTCTGGCTCCATCGTGCATGGATGCTTCCTGAGGCAAGGTGGGGATTTACACTGACTGCAGGGGACCAGGGCACAGAGCCTGGGCAGCCAGGGACTGAAAAGGCACAGGCAAGCAGTGCTCGCTGATTCCCTCCCTCCCCGCTCTGGGAAGGTGGGATGAATCTAGTGCTGGATGCGGAACAAATCTCCACCAAGCAAGGATGTCCCCAAGAGCCGCACGCCCGGAGGTCCCTGCGCCGGGACGGGGAGTGAAACGTGCCACTGACAAGCCACTAAAGCAAATTAATAGCGGACTGACCAACAAGAAAAGATGATATCAAGGAGGTGAATTTACAGCCCATCCTTCAAAGATATAAAAATGCTTTTGGACTACGTGGAGATTACTCATGCGAAACCCGTCAAGTTATCCTTTCTTCCACATTATTGACAAGGGCTATTAATCTTCTCCCTCAACTTTGGGCCTTTCCCTGTATTCATCTCTCAAGGCGCAGACAAGCCACTCTGTCTTGTCAAGATAATTACCCATTTAAAAAAAGGGTGTAATAGACTGTCCAGGGGAGCTGAGCCCATGGGGATGTCTCAGCCCCACTGCCACCCCCGGCACCATCCTGCCGCCCCACAGAGGCTGCTGAGCCCAGGGGACATGTGGGACCCACACCTCATCCTTTCCCAGATCCTCAGCTTCCTAAATACCTCAAATCCCACAGAGGCCCCAGCAAATAAAATACAACACGCTGGATGACACAGGCTGTGGAAGCTGGATTTTTCTCCCAAACATCCCTCTGGTGAGCGGCATTGGCCCGAAGCAGTGGGAGAAGTCAGCTCCAGTGCCGCTGCAGATAAGCAGATGTCTCCAGGCTGTCCCTTGGGCACCTTGCCCCAGGCCCCAACTGCTTTTTGCAGATGGGAATTAGGCTGGCGCACAGAGGGAGTAACATGGAGCAGAAAGGCAAGGCTCGCAGTGGCGTGTTCCCGGCACGGAGACAATACATCTCCGCCAAACTCGCAGTAGATTAGGGCCGCAAAAGGGATGTGACCCTGCTGATTATAATAGCAGGGTTGTGCATCATACTACAGGGCTGATAATTAATTTTCAAGTGCGTGATGAGCCTCTGCGGGCAGCCCTCAGAGGACGGACGCAGCTATCTTCTCAAGCAGTGGATGAGACGGGATTGGCATCAATTCCCATCACATCGCCAGCGCCGGCTTTCGGCAGGAGTTAATCAAAACCGCTCACAGTGCTGCTCCGGAGAGCCAAGGGACGGTGTCACCTCCGAATCTCCAAATCTGACGGGTGCAGCAGCAGCACCCGGTGCTGCATTTTCAGGCTGGATGAGCCCATCTAGGGAGCAGGGACTGTGCCTCAGCGAGGGATGCTCTCCGCAACGAGAGTCTGAGCTGCCCGCAGCAGCGAGGCCGGCAGTTTGGATCTGACCTGGCACTGCTGGGACACTCCTGCCTGCTCAGACCCGGCCTCGGTCAACAGGAGCCTTTTATCATCTTAACTACCAGGCGACAGCGCAAATCCTCCCCGTTGGCCTGGCTGGGGCACGCTGTGCTGGAAAACAGCCAGGGACACAAAAAAAACCAAACCCCATTTTAAGAAGAGACTGGAGAGAAGCAAAACAGAAAAGGAAAAGAATATGAAGAATCACAAATAAAGAAGGAAAATCAAATAAAAGCTCCTCTACCCCCGCGCACCCCCCCGCCCACGTCGCTGCTCTGCATCTGTCTGCAGCCTGGCTGGGTGGAGGTGAGAGCACACAGAAATCCCCAGCCCTGCTCAAAGCAGAGTTAACATCCAGCCCTGCTAAATGAAGGCCATTAATTAGCTCTCCTGGAAATAGAGTAGCCCACAGGGCCTGGGAGCATCCCATGGTCCATGTGTGGGTCACAGGAGGGGATGCAGCTCCGAGCTGTGCCCCATCCTCCTGCCCTTGCTACCCCATCTGCCCGGCAAACCCGGCGCTGCCACCGGCTCCTCCGTCTCCACTCGCTGCACCCCAGCACCTCCCCGTCTGCAGCCGCACGGGGGTGAATTATTA